TCGAGTCGTCCGCGAAAAAAACACTCGTTGTGGTCACCTCGTCATTGAGACAGATACCGTGTTCTTCATGTTGGCGAAGCAGGTTACCCAGCGGCTCGATGACAAGTAGAAACAGGAGTGCAGACAGCGGATCTCCTTGTTTCACACCTCGTGTCGGACACAATGCATCCTGGACGTATCCGTTGAGCATCAGGTGCGCCTGGGGCCTCGTATACAGCAGCTTCACCCACCCGGAGAACTCACCGCCGCATCCAATGCGATCAAGCACTTAGCCAGCCATCTAAGCATCATATATCATCACATGAAAAACATAGCAATAAACCGAATGTTACTAGTTTGAGGCGGTATCAGACATAACTCATCACGAGCATTTAATGAACAAATGTAGAGAGCAAATTTTTGGGGGATGTACTTGTAAGATTAATTTTTACGCTATGGGCTTTTGTGGCACACACACACAGGAACGGGTACACCAACATAGATATTCCGGTCAAAAAGGTATGCAGAGCTGAATGAAAGTGATAATTAAGCGGTGGCACGGCGTTGCGACGTGGAAGTGGGGCGTGAAGGAGGAATGCTGCGGTATCTGTCGCTGTGCATTTGAAGCGTGCTGTCCTGATTGCGTATTGCCGGGCGATGGGTGCCCTCCTGTATGGGGTGCATGTAATCATGCCTTTCACATGCACTGCCTCATGAAATGGCTCGAGTCGCTACGGTCAATGCGCCAACACTGTCCGATGTGTCGTCAGGATTGGAAATTTCGCAACTGAGCTTACAAGTAATTAATTTGATGAAAAGTATCGAAACTACAGAGACGTATCCATCTTAAGGACAGTAGAAAACAAGGTCCTCTTGTGTATTTACGCTCTGATCTAATGCTGTTGTACACGTGCGAGCTTAAGCGTGCGCTCGTGATATAAGTTGCGTTGTGGTAGAAAGGCAGACAAAAAGTGCGCCACGTCAATGTCACCATGCGTAAATTGCATGGCAATCTCGTCCGATTCGTTGTCCACACTCTTTGCCGCTAATGACAGTTGTTCCAGCAGTGCATCTGGTCGATGGCGCTACTCAACGAAGACAAAGAACTCATGAATACAAACACAGAAAACACCAAGAAGAGACGAATACAGACATACTGCAGCAATGCGTTGTTGTCTCGCCTGCTTCTCTGCCAGCATCTGTTGTGCTGCTCGCAGCTCTGCCCTCTGTAACTCGATCGCTTTCTGTAAATTGCGCAACTCCGACTCGTGACCAAGAGTTTTCATTGCGGTGCCCATGTTGCTGTGCAAGATCTGGTCGCGCAGCTGTGTGAATTCTGTCACTAAAGTCAATTTGTCAACAAAAATTTTAATTGCATGCTCATCCGAATTTAGTTTCTGGAGCTGGGAAGGGCTAGAACGCACACCATATCAGTACTTAACTCGCAATTCAAAAGTCTACTCACGATAACTCTTCCAGCTCTAGAAATGTCGAAGGAATCACGGGCATCTGTGTATGCCGAGCCCGAGTGTCTGACTTATGTTGCGCGTTGGCTGACGCATAGCCGGCCGTGGATTTGATGTGCGGCGTCACTAGTGTTACCTGTGTCGGCATACTATTTCTCGTCGGAGGCACTATTTGCTTGCTTTCTGGCACAGTGTCAGCAGATTCTCGCAACTCTTTTGCAATCTCTGTCACAATGCGCCCCAGATCCGAGTGCACCGTCCACATATCCAAATCCGGATGTCCCCGTACATTTCCTGCAGTATCAAGCCACTGATGCTGGAGTGGAATCGACGCCTTAAATAGTACAGTCGCATGGATAAGCATCGATTCCAGCTAGCGAATGCTTTTTAAATTATAGCAAATTTACCTTGATGCGAGGAACTCGAACGGGAAAGTCAGATGGCAGCTGCCTGCAAGAAGATTTTATCAATTACTGAAACCCGCGGACTGTGGCACATAAAACGATACGATGCTTACAGCTGCAGCGTCAGCGGACCGCGTGAAGTATGAAGCACCGGTACTTCGAAGCTTGTTTGCTGTTGGTTCTTGGCTCGACCGCCTGCGCGCACGAGGCTTGCCAGCTGTCGCCCTCTTCTGCAAGTCACAAGCGCGTTTAGAGTGGCAAATTAAGGTGAATTGATAAGAGAATCGATTTTTTGATCACTTACAGGCGCTCTGTCTCGCTCAGATGCGTCTCCTGCTGTGAGGATCGACTAGAGCCTCGATACCCAAAGAACGACATTTTGCATACACAGAAGTAGTACTGCGCAATACCTCAAATTAATGACCTGCAAGAAATTTTTTATATAATTTGATAAAATAGGACTATAAGAATAATTTGAACAGTATACAGCTCAGTCCCGGTCAATTGTGCCGCGGCTGTTGGCAATCGCAAACATCATTTGCTGTGCAAGTACTTTCTTGCTAGAATATGCAGGCAGGTGCAACGTATTTGTACATGTACGTGCAAACGGCAGAGCACGATCCACATCAAGATTGTCCACAACTCGGCGAACAACCTCAAAGGGTGGCTTAAGTGCCTGAAAGCCTCCAGGCGGCAAATTTGGGCATCCCGTTGCGTACAATAGAAACGCTCGACGTTCGGTGGCAGACATAGCCTCTAATACATTAAATAACCACTTTATGGGTTGGCTGTCCTTCGTGAAACCGTGCGCAAGTTTCGTATCCTTGGCCAAAGACTCGGCATTCCACTGTATATCTTGCTCACCGCACAACAGTGATAGTAACTCGGGAACAAACAGCAATTTCAATTTTTCAAGCGGAAGAACTTCACTTATGCCTTCACGAAAAGCCAGCACTTGTGCACGAATGCCTGATTCGAGCCAGAACTCCAGCACAGCTCGGACATATACCGTCAAATTACTAACCGACACGACAATATCGTCTCCTCCAATAACTAAAGGTTCCTGTGAAAACGGGTCGATGAACGTAAACCCAACGGCCCCCAACCACTCGTGAATATTCATCTCATCAATTTGAACATTTATTTCTCCAGCAGCCAATTTCTGACAAGCCTCGTACATGGAGTACAAGATTCGCCCATGGCTCAAAAATATTACGCCAAGCTCTTCTAATGCAACAGTTTCGCCCAACACAAGTTTAATAAATTGTGGGGATAATGGCAACGGAAGCAAGCGCTCATCCATTAGTGCTTTTCCTGCCAGTCTTCCTATCAAGCGAAAGCGATTGACAAGCTCTGAGTCTGGAATGTGGTGGGGGTACGGAAACAAACCGTTAGGGTGCCGAATTACTATTGTCTCTTGAGTAATGTCATCGATGCCATCAGCAGAATCGGTGTGTCGAGCTTGGGCTCTCGCGTCGTCATCCTCACCAGGAATCCAGTAACGTTTTATACAATTTTCTTTTACCGCCTGTAAGGCATGTGCTGTCGATGAGTAAAATGCCGCCGTAACTCCAGACCCATAGCCTTTCTCGCCATCAAACACCACATCTAGGATTGCTTTGCGCTTTGCATGCATCTTCATCACTGCCTCTGCAGATTGCAATATATTCGTGCGAAGAACTTTGACGCGTTCTTTTGGAATAGGAGAAATTGTAATCCCTTGGTTATAATCGCTGCTCCCGATCGTCGAAGAACTGGAACTGACTACGCGTTCCCCAAGATTAAGTTGACTGCGAAACCAGTGCAAGGATCGAGTACATCCAAATGATGTTGATCGAAACAGATTTTCTCGTAGCTTGCGCGGAAAGAAGAATTTGCAATGGGCGACCAATGCATCGCACCAGGGTGGATACATTCCACTACACATAGAGAGTATATCTTGCATTTGCGTCTCCAATTTGTTACACAAACGCGGATTTATCCAAATTGCTTCATCAAGCAACGCCACATTCTTCCTGCGATACTGAAATATACACCGAAGCAAACTTACCGCGTCTGCCACTGATGCTCGTACTTCAGATTTGTCCCATACTTTGCGATAAGCCTGCGACGCAGTGATTCGATTTGGCCATCGCTTCGTAGACACAACGCCACTTGCACTCATGCCATCTAGTGCAACAACACCTTGCTCTAGCAACTGTGGAAATGGTTTGGCTTTTAATTTTTCAAAAGACTCAAGCAACGAAGCGTGCAACCCCAGCGAATCATTTGCATCTGACACAATGGGTGCTTCCCAATCAACTTGAAAATCACAATATAATTTGTACGTCAGCTTCCAAGGTGGCACTGTGATATCTGGTGCCGTGGGACCTGTGTCCAAGCTGGGAGTACCAGGGCAGGCTTTAGCACGGTACTCGCAGCGTAACTCTTCCACGCATTTCAGTATATTTTGATCAGCAGGAAACCCACGAAGTACGACAGGCTGTTGCAACAGATCATTGCCAATACATTCACCACCATTGGGCGAACTTTTGTAATCACAATCATTTCGGCTGTTGCTACGCGAGCCATCCGAAGACAACAAATTCTCTGCAAAGCCCCGTGATAGCAAAAATTGTGTGAGCTGTTTCAACTTAACAAAATCTTTGCATTCATGGCTTATGAAAGAAACAAATCCATCCGATCTCAGCAATTTGCGATTGGTAGCCGGGTCAGCGAATTTAGAAAAGGTCATACAATGTTTGGGAATAAGATCAGAGTGGCTGTCCTTGGCCAGACCACATAGTGCATGCATAAAATCGATAAATTTCTCGATGTCCCACATACCTGCTTCCTGGTTTCTTATCGAAGGCCGCACTTTTCGTCGCCTCTTCTTTTGCTTGGCTCCAGAGGAAGGGTCTCCGATAAATGAATTGAATATATCTAATAGAGCCTCACGAGCTTCAGCGGTAATTTCGAATTGCTGGGTCAATAGATCTAGCTGACCATAATGCGGTGCTGCGTGTTTGTCATTACTAATTTTCTTAACGCTTCTTAGATCAATTTTAGACGAGTCCTCAACTCGATTCGGCGCTGTGACGCTCTTATTGCAGTTGCGAAATCCCATGACCAGACCTACCTTCGGCAAACGCGAGCAAGTCATCTTGGGCTTGGCATCTTGCGGCGTCAAGTACTTTTTCACTGTGGTATCGTCAATACAGTTAACCTTGTGTAGTCGAATCGATTTTGAATCAGTTGGGGAATGGGATGCCAACAGATGTTTAACAGTTTGCACCTCGCCTCCAATCATGTCATCCGGTGGATTTGATCCGGCAGCATCTTGAGTTGCACGTTGAATATGGTCAGGTTCGTAAACACCACTTATGGGATTGCAAGCTCCAAGAATCGAGCTACGGGAAATTAAGTTTCGGAGCTGGTCCACTGCAGTACCAGACGTTTCTACTTCGTATCCGTGTTGATTTTGCTGAAGCGACTCTGCCACCCTTCCAAAAGCTCGATGTATGGTAAAGGTGCTACTATTATGACCACCAAAAGCCAGGCTTGATCTCCTACGATCTGACATTGTTTGTAAGGCGGCCAAAAGGCGAGATGGGGTACGACATGATAAAGCGCTTCCCTCAATACCTAAGTTCAAAACTTGGTTTCGATTTACCTTCACGGCGAGGGGGGCTTGTTTGTTTCCGAATGCAACTTCCACAATAACAGTGGAAATTTCACCGACCGAACTTAGCCCAGGGGGGAATGCTTTGATCGTTCCCGCCACACAAAGATTTTTAACAGAGGACCCCAATGGCGGAAGTACCCAGACCCGGTCACCGACACTACCTGTGAGCAACGAGTTGGCACGAGCTGAGAACAATTTTTGAATGCTCGACGCCTTAATTCGTTCTTTTTCAAACTCAGGTGGGGACTCTTTTTGCGGTGGAAATCGGACACGATTCATCACCACTCGTTTTTTCTCAACACCAGACTTCATCATCACATCTAATGCTATGGCAGAAGTTTCACTCGACATGCAGTCATTCTTATGGATGCAAACGACTTCTCCTAAAGGACCGCCGTCTATGGCAACGACGCTGCCCACTTGTGGTTGAGCTGCCCGCGGACGAATACAATCAGCAGGCAAATTACGAACGATTCGATCGTCGATTAGCAATTTCACAGAGTGATAAGCCTGGGCTGCTAGTACTTCTTCACACCTCTGACATTTCTTGTCACTTGGTTCCGAGACGTCATCTCGCTCGTTCCAAAGAACTGCTGCATACCAGGCTCCGGGTAGACTAGATAAATTCAGTACATTTGTATTTCGAACCTCAACTTGGTGAGACCTATCGCTATCAGGTTTCACCTGAGATAGAAATTTGCGTTTTCGCTTACTTCTCTTTTTTCTCTTGTTGTCACCGCTGTCGTTGACAAATGGCGATCCAAAAAGCTTCAGATCCAACGCAACATTCTCGTACACGTCAACACTACCAATAAGCTTGCACTGAGAGTCATGAAGCACTACCTCGTAAAAGCTTTCGTCGGTACCACCAAAAGCCTTCACCAGATGGCACGATCGTGTATCATCAAAGCCGACGACCAAATATTTTTTCCACTTTCCTTCGACCACTTTCTGAATGGAATGGCCGACAAGATTAAGGTATAACAGCGACAAATTTGAGTCAATTACAGGCATGCTACGGAAGACCGTTCTCTCAAAAGACTGAAAGTGAGTCAAAGGCGACAAGCGAATAGATTTTTCCTCTGGACGACTAGAGAAACTTTCATGCTGTCTATTGCCCGCACTTCGGATAAACGTGACTTTTACTTGTCGAGTGAGCGGATATAGCTCCCTTCCCTTGCCAGTAGTAAATGTGGTCAATGGGAATGACTCTTCTTGAGTGATGATAGTTTGCAAGCGGGATATTAGATGTTTAAGCGCCATTGGACGGCACTCAAAAGCTTGCATCAAGACCAGTCTACGACCTTCATGCAGCTCATCGTGTGGTGATAGATACTGAAGAATAGCAGGCAACAGCATAGACTGCTTAAGTTCATACGTTGTGATCGAATTTGGATCTCGGAACAGATCAACCAAGTCAACTAGTATGATACTTTGGTCGCAAGGACGAGACCAATCGGAAAATTCTCTTAATCGCTTTGCAAGATTTCGAAGCTTGTAAAGGTGAAGCGTACCACTCTCCACCATATCAGCTCGAAGCATATTTAGCAAATCTAGTCCTCTCCCAAATATTGTGCCGCGAGGGTTCCAAGGAGTAGCTTTATCACGGGTTGGACTGACCCAACACGCTGATGGATCGTTTAGCTGCTCCAGTTGCTCAGTTATACCTCTCCTTTCAATTTGATAGTAAATCCCTGATTTCTTAGGTAATTTTCTCCCCGTAGCTTGCAATATACGGACTGCTAAGATATATGAGAGCAAGTTGGATTGAGCTGCTACATTGGCAGACGACGATGGAGGAAAAGGTAATGCTCCCTTGCTTGCCCAGGACTTCGCAACGTCTGGCCTAGATTGGTAACGTTTTTCACCTCGAAGCAAAAAGTGCACTGTGTCAAGAACAAGATTAATATCTTCTTCTTTCAAATCCTGTATAAGCTGTGACGGTGCCACTTCCAAAACGCACGCTAGAGTAGACATAACCGAGCGCTCCACTTTTTGAATGTCCATTTTGTGCAGCACTAACAGCAAGCATTTGATAACAGCTCGACTAAACTCATACACTTCGTTCGCTTTGACATGTACAAGCTCTAAATCTAGAGATGTATGACCATTCAAGCTTCCCTTGTCACACAAACTCGTTGCAGTTTTCCGTTTAGTAAAAATACCTGTAAAAGTATGCAAAGACTTTTTAGACTTTGATAAACCAGGTAGAAATTTGTCTAGGCGGTGTTGGTCGGAGGTTGCCAATTCGCTCGGACTGTCGCCATCGTAGTTATCCAGGTCCTCATCGCTCGAGACTTCATCGTCGTCCATCACCACATCAAATTGGCCAGCGCCAACAAGCCCTTCATCCCCATTGTCACCATCGTCGTGATTCATTAAATATTCTTCTTTATCATCTTCATCATCATCGAGATCCTCATCCTCATCATGGTCATCGTAATCTGATGGGTAAAGCCACGAGCTACTATTCCCACAAGGCATTTCGTCGCTTTCGAATAAGTTGCTGTCATTATCTGCCGAACGCTGATAAAACTCTAGCAACATTCTCATGGGAGAAGAAATCAATTCCTTGGAAGTACTTTCGCTTGCTTCTTTGTCAGTTGCATTAGCCACATCCATGACAGTATTCGTTTTTCGATCTTTAGCCTGCACTCGTGCTCCACATTGCAGCAAGATAGCAGCGATATCACAACGCCCGCATCGAGCTGCAACATGCAGCGCCGTGCCGTTAATTCCTATCTGGTGAAGGTCAGCACCTCTTTTTAGAAGAAAACGTACCATGTCAAGCGACGCAAACTCCACTGCAACGTTAAGAGGCTTATCAATTTCGTTTCCTTTCTCATCAAATGTTGTTTGAGGGTTCAAGTCTACGCCATCGTTCAGAAGCACATTCACAGCAGCAATCGAATCGACTCGAATAAATTCATGCAGTAGAGTAGATGGCACATCAGGATCCGTCAGAGAGTTCAAACGCTGGCGACTTTGCCTTTTTCGTGGCAATCCTGACCCAAAACCTTCCTTACATAGGATGTTTTGTTTCGCTAAACTTGGCGATCCATTTGTATGTTGGCGCTGTGAATTTTTCGTAGATCGCAACGTATGATTTGTACATACTGAGCGCGTCAGCACAAAAATGAGCTTTAGAGTGCTGGTCCGCAGACCTTTTGACGAAGATTGAAGTAATTGAAGCATGTTATTAAAAAGCTCAACATAAATGTTCTTCCGTACAAATATTTGAACAAGTTGCGCAGAAGTGTCGAATAAATGTAACAACAGATTTACCATTGCGAGTCGTGAATCTTCCGACTCTTCGCCGTCATATTTTACAATAACTGCAACGAACTTAAGCAACAATTCAGATGTCACTAGCTTTACAATTGATTCGGGATCTTCACGAGATATAAAGTCAAATATGAGCATCAAACACTTTGCTGCTTTGACACGCAATGGAATGTGCTTATGCTGAAGAGCATGATGCAAAAACACAATCAACTTTGTTGCTAGCGCTGATGTAAATTCGCCAACCGAATTAAATGATGCTGCCCAATGAGCTTCATTGTCATTTTTCAGATAATGTTCATGTTGTATATTTTCTCTCCATCGCAGCTTCACGCAACATTTCTGTAAGATATCGAGAGCCGTCATAACAGTATTAGGATGAAAAACGCTGCCTTCTTCATTTCCATCAACTAAACTTAGTAAAAATTTCAGATACTCATCCAAATTGTTGTGCGCCAGCAATTCACGGACAGCAAACGCTTCAGCATTACATGCACTCGATAAGCCACTAAGACATTCCTCCACAATCATTTGCGAAATCTTCAGATCACTACCGCTTCCAGTACCTATATTACCTTGATTGTTCCAGGCTGATAAATCGGAGATATATAGTCTGACTACTTCCTCCATTTGTCCTCGCTCAAAAATGTGCCGATCCAATTTCATTAAATAATTTATAGACTGTATTGCCAAATGCCTCACTTCCCCCGGGTACGTCCGATCTTGCCCTCGAAATATATTTACGAGTACCGTTAAAAGCTCTGGATCTTTTGCAGTATCAGACAGTCGTTCACTACTAAAGCCATGAATTAGAAATGAGTTCCTGTCTGCCCACTCATTGTCGGCCGAAGCATCCATCATTGCCAGTGTATGCGTCAACGTCTGCAATGTGATGGTTAAGCGACTGCTGCTGGGTTCTGTTATAAGCTTCTTTAGCTCAAAAAGAGAAATCCCATACGCCACCTTCATTCGGTCCTGCACTTTGCGTTTACATCGCTTCTGTTTATTTAATTGCGTCTTCTTGTCGACGTTGTTCTTTACATTTTCTACCTTATCAATAGACTTTTTTGCTATCTTTGATCGTTGCATAAAGCACTTTGAGCATGTGTGTCCATCAGAAAGCGTATCAAAATTCTTGCAGCCACACGTGCGTGCATCCTGCACTGAATTGTCACTGTCTTCATCAATCTCCTCACTAGAAGACGACAACGACGCATTTTCTTCGCTCTTAAGTGCCTTCGACGAGCATAGTCTCAAACCTAATGGAAAAACCGGTCGTGGATTCAGTGTCCCACAGACTGCGCAGACTCGCATGCCAATGGGATTCACCATCGTGCAGGCTACGCAGCTCCAGTTCAAACCAGTGGTAGCTTCAAGCGTCTGAGCAGCAGGAGATGGAGATGGGTTTGATGTCTCGCACATCTCACAAAAGCAGCGTGTCGCCTCATTGAGAAACGTGCAAGTGGGACAATTCCACGATTGTAAAGTTTCCTCCTTCTTTTCTTCCTTGTTTTGCTGTTCTTGTTCAAGTGTTTCCCACCTTTGCTTATCTTCATTGCTTTGACGACTGGCATCACGCTTTCGCTTGCCATTGCGGCGCTTGCGATTGCCTCGATTGGGCACAGAAGGTTGTTCCATACTCAAGCTTTTTTTTCACCAGTGGCTGGTTAAGAGACTTGGACGCGCTTTAGGTACGATAAGAAAATATCGTTATGTCTATTTTAAATGTGTGTGAAAGGTCCATGAAACTAGTTGAAGGAACGTATTTTCTTCGACCTAATGGCGTCTTCTCCTCGAAGGTACTGCGTTGGACTGGATGGATCAGAGTCTCGATTGTGCAATCTCTCTGTCGGTTCTTTACATGCTAGAATTATTTTTATCAAGTGCCGACGAGTTTTTTTGCTGTAGAGTAGAGGACTCACAGTGGAGCAGGTCGATCGCACACTGCGTGTATTTACGATGGCCGACACCATCGATTTGTCTGATAACGAAATCGATAAAATTCCATCGGAGATTCCAATTGAAGTTGTGACGTTGGACATTTCGTTCAACGCCATCGCAAGCATTCAGGGGATTGAACGCTTGCAATTTGTACAAGAGTTGCACCTGGCATCCAATCGTCTGGATGACGTAAGTGCGCTTGAATACTGCCCACGGCTTGTTTGCGTTAACTTGAGTGGAAACAGGTAGGATACCGTCCGAACACATATGGAATTTGCAGTGATAATGATTGTACAGGCTTATGCACACGAATGGACTGGAAACACTTGAAAATTTGAAAATGCTTGATGTGTCGGAGAACCTCATCGAGATGTACGTGCGGGAATCTAGCGTGTTTAATTGCTTGACTACTATATGAAATCCTGATCTACGTGTCATGTTTTTCAGACCGGAAGCCTTGAGGGCATTATCATTGAACATTAATTTGACCCATTTGTCGATTCGAGGGAATCCATTGAGTCAAATGTCTGGATACCATCTTCCTATTCTCGAAATAATTCCCAGTTTGATCATGCTCGATGACAAAAAGCTGCGAAATGCCGTTCGATATACGACAAAAGAGTTCTCGGCTACTAAGTCCATTTCATACTGTAAGGTAGCAACTCACATATCTTTGCACCAGAATTAACGTTGATATTGTTATCAGCACGAATCTACGACAATAAAAAACAGCAGACGTGGTCGCGGCTACAGCTCCAAACTTTACGATTTCAATCCGAATTCTCATGCCCTTCACCGAAGCACGAAAACGCTCAAGCGGGTCATAATAAAGAACGTCAAAAACGTGCACAATCTTGGGCATCAATAATGCCACCTTCGATCAGAGAAGGTAATTCGCTCTCCTACTCGAGTATGTACGACCAGCTTGCGCAGTCCAACAAAAATGTATCTAGCCGACCAATTACTCCAACCGTCAAACCCATCTTCAATTCAAAAATGAAAAAGTCAACTAGTGCGTCCATGAATCGGCTACGGGGCAATGCTCAGTGTGTGGCTTCACATCTCACAGGTATGCTTTGTTTTTAAATCACTGTTTTGTTTGTACATCACTTTGTTTTGCTCAGCAGGGGTTATCGCATACAAAAAAACATATAATTCTCGCATGGGTAGGCTTCAAAATCGAGAATCGAAGGCGTATTCAGACGCACACGGCCAACGCCATAAATAACAAGTAGAATACAGATCGAGACGTGATACAATACCGTTTTGAACGAAAATCCAGAGTTTCCTGAGTCGCAAAAGATTAGAGCGCAAATGCGTTGGAGCAAGTTATTATTTACGAAGTTAGTCCTTATGGAGACGACGAAATCTAGCTCAGTATCACTAGTTAAATAGATTTGAAGCATCTAAGATCAGCTAGACATATATATCAGTTACATTTAACGTGTAGCTTACATTTGTCAAAAGTCATTTTACCCAAAATCGGCATCACACGCCTCGGCGCCAAGCAGCTCAATGCAATTAACGGACGGAAAGTAAAGCAAGTGATCACGAGAAAAGTCCACATATCGAAGTTCTCCAGGAAAAATTGCCAGAATGTCGCAGTTTTGATGTGGTGGGCTACTCGGCAAGTTGAAGATGCTGGCGAATGGAGAACAGTGGCGGCGAATGACTCTCGCGTACAGAATTCGGCTATCCGTTAGCTCCTCCAAAAGAGAGCGCATATCTTGTAGGCTAAAAAGTTTGCGCATCTTCCTGTGAATGGCACGGTCACAAATACCAGGACAGCACATGACAATATTCACAACCTTTCGCTTTACTTTCAGTGCTATTTTCATATTCACACTTCCATCTAAGTGAAGCCATGGTCGGGCTACAACAGTGCTGGTCTTATCAAATAAGAAGTGAACCTTGTCTGCGGTTGAATTGTGCGAGATTCGGTAAGGATGCAAGGACCAGAGGTCAGCAAACTCTTGGAGTAAAAAGCGGCTGTGATCGTATCCATTCACTTCCAGCACAATCCCTTCGTGGACCAATTTTTCAACCTCGCGCTGGATGAGCATATCTACTGCTGTGTTGCATTCGGCAAAATTTGTTAGTCCAGATGCTGTGTACTTATTGCTTAGCTCCTTCAGCGACATTCCTGAGCTAGCCGCTTCTGTTAGTGTGGCAGACAACCACGACGACACAGATTCGTATGATTCATGCCTTGTCCACTTAGCTTTAAAATTACTTTGCGTCTGTTGGCGCATCTGAATGCTACAGGAAAAGGCTTCCATCTCTTTGATCTTTCGAGCTTGTGTGGACACGTCAGAGATACCAAAGATAATTTTTACATTCCACAACTCCGCAAGAAAGTCGTCAGGAATCACGCCATCACACTGCCGCGACAAGTGTCCGGCAAGACCTTTCACAGCAAATGTTTGTTGAAAATCGCAGTCATCCGCACATTTTTTCGAGGGCTTCACATACGACGGCACAAGACGGCAAAATCCCGAAATCATTGAAGACAATGCCACGGCAGCTTGTCCGGATGGCACGTTTGGTTCCATTTCATGCTCAAAATATCGATCGGATTCCTCATTTTCAATCGTGGCTTCATCGACGTTTTCGTTAACAAACGACACATATTCAGCTGCTTCACAAAAAGTTTCCATCCAGTAATGAGAAATCTTCAGGCTTTTCATTTCGAACACTTTTGAGTGAACTTGAAATCCGCGTTGTTTTTGATCCTTCCCTTCATTTGCTTGAGGTGTACGGATAATGATTCCAGCCAGCCACATGTATCTCCACACCAGTTTTGCCTCACTTTCCATCCAGTTACTCAAAAGTGCATCAGCCAGTACCGAGTAATAACAAGAACGCTCGTGAAGTACCACTTGCAATGCTCGGCAAAATAATGCTGTTAATCGTGGCTGATTCATAACGGCCACTTCTTCGTGAAACTTTCCACCAGGGTTTTTCATTTGAGTAATGGTAATCTTAGCCCTTTCCAACCTTGCTTGAATCGCTGGGGCCTCAAGTAAATCATTTATGCGGAGCATACACTCAATAGGCTTCCTTTTGAAAGCCTTTCCGAGCTCCTTCCATGATATAAGAGTGCGAGTCAGATTTGTCGTCCGAAAAGCAACACGCTCTTCTCTCTTTTGAAGGGCTAGCGGCACCTCGACAAACCATCGTCGTGACATTTGTTCAAGGTAAAGGTCTACCAATCGCAAGTCATCTTTAAGACTCCAAGTCAAGGTTCGACAAGTTTTCCTTGCACTAACTTGCTTGCGAAATTTACTCACACCGGCTTTACTAGTATCTGCTGGTGTCATCAAAGCCGAAGTTGAGAATATGCTAGGTTTGGCGGTTTTCTGTCGTTTTTGCAAGATTGTCGCGTTAGAAGGCATATCGTCTTGGCAATGCTTACGCTGGAGCATTTGAATGGGTCCCGCCGCTGCTCGAGCTCGGGCAGTACTATTTCTTGTGGTGCTCGTTGAGTGAGGGACCCAAGCTTTAAGCACATAAATATTGTGCTCTGATAGTGGAGCCGACTGAATTAAATCGCCGTTAAGCTTGACACTCACACTGTTGGAATCACATGAAGCGGTTCGCAAATAGGCCCCTTCGACACTTAAGAAACGAAGCGACTTCCAGTAGGCCTTGACATCGTTTGCGTCGTTGAACTCAAATTCGAGAGGAACACGCCCTGTAAAATGATCGCTCTTGCTTCGGCATGAAAATCCTGGAGCATATGCATAGGAACACTCAGATGGAAGACGGTGTAGCACGCGTGTTCCTTGTTTTACACTGATATGAACGAGACGCTTGATCTTGAATAACCCTCCCGACATAGTAGCAAACGCTACCCTTGAAACAATGGAATCGAAGTCATCACATGTCTGGAATACGTCAAAAAGTCCAGTTGAAGAAGTGTCGTGTACTACCTGAAGAAGCCTCAAATCAAGCAAAACCCGCATAATTTTTGAAAAGCGATCTGCTTCGCATCCCCGAAGTTTTTCCGCAAGAGAAGTCGATAGTGCATCCCACGAGCTGCCTTTCAATATTGCCACTCTGACAAGTTGTTCTTCCCTTTCGGTAAGCAATTTCGGGACGCCGACAAGCTGGACATACTCTTTTACCGTCATAAGGTCAATGATATCTTTCAGTGCGAAAGACACTTCCGTTGAATTGTTACAAGAAGATGCCGCATTGATCGCATCAGGAGGTTTATCGACATTATATCTAGCGTTTAATTTGTCAAGTCGATTCCAAATGATGACGTGAAAAGCCCGACACTTGTACATCATACCAAAATACATCCCAAGACGGCGGCCTTGTTTCTGCTGTTTTGCTAGCCCAAGACGTGCTAACTTGTAGGACATCGCGCTGTAATTGACGACCTCCTGCTCATAAGATTCCAGATTGTGTATTCCACTCCCTTCACTCGTACTGATTTGCTGGTGTTTTCTGCGATTCGAAACCACAACATAGTCGTCATTATCGTGGTTGGCAAAATTGGCCCGATACTTCTGCTGCTGCTCCTTCTCGTATGCTTCGATAAACGCTCGGATGGATTCATGACTGCGCTGATGTTCTAGCAGCACTGCACATTTGACCTTACGGTGAAATTTTTGAAAAACCTGTTTAGGCGGTAATGTGATATCCAATAGCGTCATTATTTTCTCCTCCACCAGTTTGTCAACAATACGGCGTACGGAGCGAATGTCCATGGTACTTGCTTCTGCTTCTCGCTCCATCTCAATTAACCCTGAGCGTAATTGATGCAGTGATACAATCTTTTCCATCTGCACTCGCTCAATAATATACTTTCTCCGCCTATCTATCGTTGATGTCCTCACTGTTCCTCTTGCTGCCTGCATCATCGTGCCAGGTTGAAACAAATTATTGCCATCACAATTACCGTCTGTTCTTTTTGATTTGAAATTCTGGTGAGAAGAGCTTGTAGCTCGCGCACTTACAGTGGAGCTGATAAACTTGCTACTATTATCAAACATACCATGTTGGCAATTTTCTTCATACTTCTCAGCACCAGGAATAAACATACGGTACACAGTACTTTTGCCTGACACAACCTGCTCGACTGATATATTGTAATTTGAAATCAATCCTTGCGCCAACTTGTAAGGCAATTTAAAAGTTGGGACGCCTAATACATCACGAAGCTCAGGTACTGTTGCTCCGACGACCTCCCGGTCTTGTATAGCCACATACATTTGCTCCATGATCCCACGCTCAATGGCGGGGCGCCCGACGGCCTGACAACCTGGCTCAAGCTCCTCACACGTCAGTGATGACCCATGTCGTCGACTCGAAACACCAGGCGAATCATCGCGTCGACGGATACACCAAAGCTTCCGCCCTATCAACTCACCAGCCGTTTTACACCGGGCCATAAACATTTGAAGGGGAAAAGTTGGCCTATAATTCATTTGCTGGATAAAATAGTTCCGTAGCTGCTCTTGATGGCGTTTTCCGTAGCCTAATTCACGTCCGATATCTGCAAATACACACGTTCGATCTCCTCGTGCTCTCATCATGCTGACGATAGTTTGTGCTAATGCTTCTTTTGGAAACGCCTGCCACCCTATTGATGCCGATGGAGATACCATGGCTGGGCGAAATTGACTGGCAAACCTCCGCAGGTGGACAATATTGAATCTTCGCTGATTAGCTGTAACAATATTTTTCACAACGTACTTACCACCTATCAACATGTCCAATAAATAGTGAAGCTTTCGAGAGTCTCCGAATAACCGTGAGTTGGTCAACGATGCTGCATTTTCACCGCGTACTTTTGAGCGACCTATTATCTCTAGAAGGTCGAACTGTGGTGAAATTGTATCCATAGAAGTCGTGTCTTCGACACCCAAACACTTAAGCCTCACTTGTTCGCACGCAAGAACACCTAGAACACCATCTTGATTACTTGTCATAGCTTCTTCGTAACTCAATCCTCTTACATCCACTTCCTCGCCGAGGCGAAAACCTCTTGGACTTCGTAAGACCCACTGCGCCTCATCTTCAGCATCTTCCAGCTTGATGTTGATTGCTTCTTTTCTTTCCTGTTGCGGTGGTTGATCCTGCTCAATTCTCTGTTTTTTTATGTTTTTCTTCGTCACCAAGTCGTCTAGTGTATCTTTCTTTTCAATTTTACCTATAATCATTTTTTCTTCGGTACTGCAGACATCACTTCGTTGTCGCCGCCGTCGTAATCGAGTTGTCTTGTCTATACGATTGCGACGTTCACAATCAGATTCGGACTGCCTTCGACGTTCCTTTTGAGCTGCAATACGTCTCATGGATGGCAGCACGGGCTGAAGCGATTGAGCTTTAATTTTCTTTCGCTTGAGTGCGCGCTTTGCAAAATCATTTACGGACGTTTCCATCTCTGCGGCCTCGGTGCTCGAGCATTTGAGTAGCGTAGTTTTCCACTTACGTTTGCGCCGAGGCACCATATCTTCTTCCACGCCACTCACCACAGGCTTTGTTTCGGCCGCACTTATATCCAGTGGACGCATGATATGAAAACTCAGCTGGCTCTCCATGCTGCGCAGTATGCTCCAGGTGTAAGTACGGTAGGCCAAATCTTTCTCAGGGTCCAGAGTCTCAAATAGCTCGCATAATGGTAATCCGCAACGGCCCTCAAGACCAATCTCCTCTAAACATCGAGCAATAAATTGCGGCATTGAACATTTGCCAGCCATCGCTTGGCGTGTCAATTGAATTGCGTCTTGTCCAGACGGCACCACTTGATAACGGCACTTCCAGTGCGTGGGCACGCGGTCTGATTGGATAAAATACGAGCTTGAAAGTTAATCCGAATGAAGAATAACTGATCAGCGCATTTGAATTTCTTCAACTAAATTGCTCAATCTTCCACATCATTCTCGATGATTTTTGTATAAAGTATACTTTTTATAGGTAAAACTTTTAAAAAATTCTGTTGTGTAATATTACGGCTCTCCGGTGATAATTTACGTGCTGGGGTATTTTTTTTATTTTTTGAAAAATTGGGATATTTTTTTTATATATGGCAAAAGTTGGGGCATTTTTTTTTATTCTCTCTAAAAAAAAACTCATTTTTTTTTAAATATTATTTATAGATTAATATAACACGATTAGTTAATTCTCATAGATTACGAACTGGTAACTCTTCATCTCTTTTTCTAAAATGCATCAAGTATATTCAACACATTGCTAAGGCCACGAAAAGATGATGATCTCATAGTGAAGTTTATGTTGTAACGCCAAGATTTGCACCGCCGAAACTAAGCAAATAAATAACTTCTGGAATCGAGGAGCATATTTGAAAGTTTATGTATAGGCTTCAGGTCACTGGTTAGGTTACGTGCGAGCTGGTTACAATTGTCCGAAACTCACATTAAATTTTTACTTTTGTAAAATTTAATATAGTCCCAGTTCGAAAGTATCGGTACTAATAAAGAAATAAGTGGATTGTAATTGGATAAGTACTGTACTGTTATTTACATGCAGGCACTTACTTTTGTGCAAGTTTTGCAATACACGGTATTCTACAATTGAAATAAAACCACGTTTTTTTTTGCGCAATCATGGACATTTATAAAACA